GAAACTACACATGATAATTAATTATTCCTACAAAACAACATGAATGGTGTAGAACGAACTTTGCACATTTCTGTTGAAAATAACAATATTCTAAGAATTAGCAAAACCTAATAGACATCAGCAGTAGAGGATTTTCCTTCGATAATAATGGAAATTAGACTATTTTAAGACTTTACTAAAAGTATGGAAGTTCTAACTGAACCACACGATTAGCCTCGTGGTCATCACGATCACTAATTGTCGAAAAAGGCTCTATCATAACAAACACGTCTGTAGCAATTACCAAGAATAATTTTATTATAACAGTTGGAGGTGAACTAAACTCCAATATTCTTACCCCGATAAGTAAAAATTATCTTGGGACTACGAATATTGAAGACTACGAATTATAAACCAAAAAATAAAAACCCTAACGGACTCTTTGAATTTAGTGCTTTATAATACTTAATTACTCAGTAAGGATTTTTGACTAATAGGTTTTCTACATAAAATAATATCTAAATAGATCTAAAATGGTGGATTAATTTACGGCTCAAAATATTAGTATTCTGTTAAACTTGCAGTGCATTATTCAAAAATGAAATATGACATTTGAGGTTTGGAAAAAGAACCAGATTTGGTATTCAAAAAAGTCGATTGCTACTGACCTATTAAAATGCTAGACATGGCTTCGGTGTACATGCATTTATTTCAAAGACTGACATTTGGCCATGACCTTATGCGTACACAAAAATCATGTACCTAAATTTATTACCGATATAATTTTCCTTGGAATGCATACTTTGTACTAAGCAGTTTTTACGCGTTAAACTAAATAAATATTTGCATTTTACAGAAAAAAATGTTCTACGTACTACAAGCTAGTAAACAATCATTTGTTGACAAAATAAATAAATAATTATGTTTGGTATTATAAATCTGTTGGCATATTTAATCAATGAGTAAACTGACACTAATACATAAGTATGAATTTAATCATTTTATTTTCATAATTAGTTGTTTACTTGAATATTTTTATTAGAAAAGTTGTGAATATCAAATCATTATATTAAGACGTTGTACATCTCGCTTTTAAACAATAGAACAAGTCTGTAAAGCTATTTTTTAACGAGGTATCTTGCATAATTTTTATGGTTTTACTGCCACATAAAACCATAAAACAGTGATAGTCCCAAGAAATTAAAAATGAATAATTTTTGAATACTTGCTTAATTTTAATAATAAACACTAAAATAGTGTGGTGTGTAATACTGAATATTATTTTTTGTAAGTATAGTTATAATTATATAGACTAGGATATACTTATCATACTATAAAATTACTACTAAATACATATTAATTGGTTTCAATTACAACTCTAACGACTATTGTGCATTTTCAATTATTTAAGTGTTAATTTTGTTTTGCTAAATCAACAAGGCCGAACTCTACCGAAACATCTTTAAATGACACTACCAAAAACACTACAATAAAAGAAATTATTTTTTAGACTTAACACAAATGAAAATATATAATTAGATTTTCATTATTTATGCAATTTTTTCATGAATGGTAGAAATTAACCAAATTAACTTATTTTTAAATTCTAATTTTTTGACAGTTTAAAATTTGACATATTGACAAACTCATAAAATGACAAAAACACAATATCTTTTAAATTATTTTATTTCCATTATTTGTTTATTTTAGTTTTTTAAATTTTACAGGTTATAACAATAAAATCGATACATTCTATCTGTTAGAAATGAAATTCATAAAGAATAAATGATCTTTTTTTAAAAATTGGGTAATTTTTTTCTGATAATTTAAGAAATTTTTGTAATTTAATTTTAATACAACGTTTCCATAATTTATTGTTAACGGTATAAACATAAAATCGTAATTTTAAAATCAAATACTGACATTCCAAAATAAATTTTAAATAATTTTAACAAAAGAATCGTCTTTAATAAATATATAAATATAAAAATGGTAATACACAGTATTCTTTTACACAGTAAAAGATTATAAAAAAACTTTTAACGCCAAACTAAAACTGTTCAACGATTTTGATATTTATTATAATTACTACTAACAATTTATAAGTATTATTCATGGTTTTAGCAACGAATTAATTTTAAATAGATTAATATATAATGATGTAGCCAGAGGCAATTCTAGAGTTCACTTTTAGGGGGATGTGAAATTAATTTTGGTGGCCAACTGTTGGTGATAAATTTACCGAATGAATTATCTTAACACGTAAAAAAACGCCACAATATATTTTACAAATACCGACTACAAATGATTTTAATAAAGTATTGGGAATTGTGATATCCCAACACCTTTTGAAATTGACATTGCCTTTGGCATTGATAAGATTTTGGGTTTAATTGACAATCACTCGTAATAATTAGGAGAACATTTTTATTATTGATATTGTTTAAAATAGATGTAAATCTTAATTAGAATATTTACAGAGATATATGATCTTTATTCTTGTGCTGTTATTTCGAACACTAACTAGTTAGAAATCTCAGTACATAACTGAAGTGATGGATAATGTCAATAAAAATTCTTAATACAAAAATTTATGAAAACTTTCTAACGCGACTTTGTTTTTATTTGTACAAATATGATAATTTAGAGTTATAAAATTTAAATAACACAGGTCTACAAAGAATTTTCATCAGAAACAAAAATATACTCTTTTTAACCAATTTTTCACGTTGATTTAAAATCAGCAATATAACTTTTTCTATTATTAATCCAATTTTTTGGCTTAACTTGCAATTTTAAAATTTTACACCATTAAATAGATTATTTTATGAGGATTTAAAAAAATTTATTCTATAAAATATGTGGTCAGGAACTCATATAATAACAAATTATTAAAAATTAGTAAATTTATGAGAAGAGCTCAAAATGTCGTTAAAATCACTATATTTTACATTTATACCATAAAACAAATAATTTCAATAAAAATCATAGTAATAATTTCTATATAACTCTCGGTGTTTAAAAAAGTGCTGTAATTGTAATATTCTGAACACAATTAATTTTTAACAATTTATAAAACATTTCAAAAATTATATAAAATGTTATACGTTTTTATTATTTGTATTGCATATAATAGATGTGGGAGATCGTGTCAAGTGAAAATTTAATATACGAGTGGCCGACTCTAAATTAGGATAAAGGCGAGAGAAGAAGATACTGCACAACAGTCTACTTGTTAAGCAAGAATTATTAAGCATACATTTTTAAATTATAATTTATATATTAATTCCTATATAACTTAACAATTAAACGTAAATATGATAATATATATATATATATAAGATATTTACAATGGACATAGTAAAGTTTTATTAATATAGAAGAATTTTTTTTATACTTCGTTCTCTGACGTGTCGTTTGGATTTAATTTTAATGTATGGATTTTTGTATAATTGAAAAAGATATTAAGATATAGATATTTCAATTGCTGCATCTTTTTTTAAACACCAAGAATCCCATAAAAATTATCAGTTAAGTTGTAATCGGGAAAGCAGAGAAAGAGGGGGCAATTGCTTACCAAGTTAACAAAAATATTTATAAAAAAAAATATGATTAAAATAAAAAATTGTTATCATTAAAGATTCTTGTTGTGTTAATAAAATTTTCTTTGACATTTTGATAAAAAAAAAGTTTTTTACCGATTTAAAATTTTGTAATTGTTATTATTTGTGGCCTTATCAATTTGATTGACCAAAATAAAATTGTAATCAAATTTTTAAAGTCATTTTTATGTTTAACTCTAGTTTTTACTAATAAGTAATCATTTCAAAAACTTATGTTAGAATAAATCAAATTGCATATTTGAAATCAGCGCGAAAAATTGGTTTAGAATTACATATTTTCGTATCTGATCATTAAAAACCGTTTAAATTTGTAGACCAGTGTAATTTGTATAGGAAATAATGACTATGGTAAAAGAGAATAAATTAGAAGTATCATAAATTTATAGGTTCAACACGTGATGCGGAACAGAATACAATATTTAATAGCAATTATTATAATTTTTAACGTGGATAAAAAAAAAATTAGTGAATTGAGAAATACCTAACCTTTTTGAATGAACTTGTGGAGGAATATAAGTATACGCGTACTCGCACATCTTAAATTATTCATTATTGTTGCAATTGGTATAGTATCTATGAAGTCCAAATATGCTTATAGGCAAAATAAATATTTATAATACTATAAAATTTGCTCGAGAATGTTTGACCCCGACACAGTAATTAGTTCCTACAAATATGTATTCAAATTTTATTAATACATACAGTTGAAAAAAACATGTCAGCACTAAATGAAAAATTGTAAAACAAGTTTTTTAAAGAAATCAGTAAGAATTATGTTTTGTGTGATTTAAACGTAGATTTTGTAATTTTAACTAATACAATATCCGTATCATTTTTGTTGCATTTATTGGTCAATAACGATGTTTCGTATAACATAAATTAAATCTAACATAAGGAACTTTGTGTTGTTACGGCTAATACGGAATAGATTACTTATTTAAAAAAGTTAACAGTTATTGAATACAAAGAGAAATACATATTAAGTTATCTCTTACGGCGCTTAGGCCACAGAATAAACAAAGTGATAACAGATGATTGAGGAGTAGGACTCTACGAATCATCGCTGTTCGAACACGTGCATCAAGAAATTCAACTTCGAGATGAACAAAAATTTATGTATACGGCTATTTTGAATTGTATCATAACAATTAATTCTTTTGATTAATAAATAATTATTCACAAAGTCCTTTTAAAGAATGCTAAATTATTATCGATAAATCAATCACAAACACAAATTAACACCATACTTTGGTCAACTGTCAGAAATGTTGTAATTGATTATTTTAACCGAGAAAAATTACACCAGCCATTTTCGACTAGGCTAGTAATTGAATATTAATTTCTTTAATTTGTTCAAAAAATATTATTTAAGTGCTACATGACCATAGAGAGGCTTACCGTTTAAAATTGAATCGATTTTTAACAATTGAATAGAACGTTCGTGTTCGATGTCTTATCAGCATCGTTTTGGTTGAACGATGAAAAACTCGCGCATTCACACGCGAACACGATAACTAAGGAAATAACAGAAGGAAAATTGAAAACAATAAAAAAGAAATAAGAGATTTTCACTGTTTTTCTTAAAAAAAAAAAAAATAAATAATAATAGAATAATCTATTTAGCACTTTCAAACAATCGAATCGTCGTTAAAATCGTCATATTGTTTCAATAATGTTAATATAAACGCTATTAACGCGAAAACCGTTGGCGACTACACGCGAAAGAAGAAATTGTGTTTACATAAAAAAAAATTTTCGACCCGTTAAACTGTCGAGCACCGATGACAGCGTACCGGCTTCGAATATTACGACACCTGGCGGCGCTTGAACAACGACTGCGATTAACCTTAAAGCTTCGGGCCAAGCTCCACCTCCTCCCGCCGAAAACAAACACTGGTAGTAGACAGACAGCGCGTGCGGTCCATCCACGATAACACAACAATAATCACGTTGATCGCTTGTGACGTCACTGTTGGCTGGACACTAGATCGCGGAGTACGCTTCGCCGAAGTTAGACAGCTGCCCACAACATCGCGCGATGCTCCACGGGCTGTGGTACGCTGATAATAACCACCTATGCCATTGTAGTGGTACTGCCGATAGTAGAATTGTATTCATGAATATTCGTGTATGAGTGTGCGAATTTATGTGTAGCTATAATCGAGTCTGATTTGCCGCGAAGCCCCCACCGCGGACGTTTGGACATGGCCTCTGCCCCTCCAATGAAAAGTTCTGCACATAATATTTTCCATTGAAAAAAGTTATTGATAAATATACCTGTTATTATTTTCCAGCAATTCGTTTTCTCTAGAGGGACGGTGTCGCCGAGTTTGTAACGCAGCGGCGATGCGCTCTGTCTTGCGTTTGGTTACGAGAGGCTCCGTTTGCTGAGCGATAGATCAGTTCAGTAGTTGCAGTCACCATCGCTCTCTCCGGCGACGGATCAACTACCCGTCTTGGAGTATATATGGTTGAGAAAACTTCTGTTCGGAGTGGTCGCAATGGCCTTCAATAGGCCGTAAAAGCGAAATAACATTTGTTTTCCTTCACATTGCATCATATGCACTATACATATACAAAGTGATCGGTTTATCAAAAACCACTCGATTACTCGCTAAATTGATACAGTTTGAAAAAAAGTTTTGTTTTTTTTTTACATACAAATGATCTAATTAAAGAAATGACTATTGGATTACAACTTTTAGACCAATAATTCGGAGGTTATTCTCATTTTTATACCCTAGACGAGAGAAGAGCAATATGGTCGAGAAGTGTCTAATGATAAAAAAAATAGCAGCAGCCGGAGCTTATTTCTCCAGTTATCTTTAAATTGTTAATAGTTTCTGAAATACTAATCCAAAAGTTGTTATCGACCAGTCATTTTCTTAACAAGATGATTTTCTATCTAATAAACTCGTTAAATATGTATGTTGTCTTTAAAATAATTAAGTTAACACCCTTATAATGAAAAAAAGTAATTTTAGTAAATCTTATGTAACTAGAAACATATTTTTTCTCCAGTATTGTACTTATTTTACGAGTAATTGAGCAATTTACGATAAACCGATCCGCTGTACATATGTATATTATAAATATGTATAGAATTCAAAATCATTACTTAAATAAATTAACACTTTAATTTGATGTAGTTGCCATTATGATTTATATTTAATCGTTTTACATTCTTTGGTTGAAGTCACTTTGGTACTTGTATGAATTATTCATTATCTGCATACCTTTAAAAGAATATTAACATCTAACTATTTGATTGTAAGTTACACAAGAAAGCTTTTTTAAGTCTTAGTAAATTCTTAAAAATAACGATTGCCGGGAAAATGTTGATAAACACTATCGGACTTTCATTTAAACATAAAGTTCAAAAGTTATGTCATTGTAATTAAAATCAAGTTCTTGAAAAAATTCATGAAATGTAATGCATTTCATTATTGATTTATACTTATATTAATTACAATTTTACTGATACATTCAACTTAGAGATTAATTTCAACAAATTTTTTTAATAGAACTACAGTAGGCGAGGCAACTCGTGCGTTCTAGGTAAATTTAAGTAAATACAAAGTAAAACCGCCTAAATTTTTAATCAATAAGTCAGTTTAATTAAGACGAATTTAGTGTAATCCTAACTTCATCCTTGCACCAAGGATATAATTTATAATTACTTCAATTATTTATTTTTATGTTTAATGAAATCATTCATTTTATAAAGAAATATTTATAAAATTTGTTTAAATTAAATGCACATAAGCGTAATTTTCACCCACATTTCTCATTGTAGGGAATAAACAAATCATATTATATCTATTACATCTAATCTACAGTATGAATTTATAATGTTTGACTTAATACACTGTTGATTATCTCATAATAAACTCAGTAGAAGTATTCACACTGAAACAATATCTATAATTTCACAAAAAGAAGTCCAACCCATTTTACTAAAACGTGTTATGATTAAAATTCTTATGTTCTTTTAAGTATGTAAATAGAAATAGTTGTTACATATTGCTGCGTTAAGTCGTAAAAAAAATCACTTTCTTTTAAATATTTGCACATTAGAAGTGTTTAAACAGCACGGAAACAATTTTTGTCAAATTTTCAAGTCATGCTTCTTCTAGCATATTACAAACTAGATAGTTGCACATAAAGCCCACGAATCATCCAATTTATTCTAGTATTTTATTAATAATCATCTTACATAAGTGCAAAAATATGCCTTTAAGAATAAGGTTCTTATTATTGAGTATTAGAATATTCTAAGTGTGTTTGCTCTTAACTGGCAATGGAAAAAATTTAGTTTCTGAATTTACAGAGGTAAATAGGTATTTATTTTCTAATGAATTAATGTTACATAGCTTAGTTTACCAATATACGAGATAAATTTTAATTTTGTAGATTAATAAATTATAAAATAAATATGTACTCAAATTTTAAGGCTAAATTTGAGTAAATCCCGTGACAGGTATGCAGATAAAATATAGTTATAAAGTAATATTCAATTTAGTATATTTTTTAATAATTAAATTAAAATTTTTTATTTTTTTAATAATTGGTACTTGGTTATTTAAGATGTGTTTAAACGAATTAAAAAGAAAATTGTATTAGTTTAATCTTAATTCTAAAACTTTTTTTTTTTGTTTCAGAGTTAATAATCAATTTACAATTAAATTAAAATATGAATTATGAATTGAAATATTTCGATTTTTACGTTCATTTTAAGTTAGTAAATACAAAAGATCGTCGTAGGAAGTTATACGTAATAGGACGTAATTTTATTATCATAACGTTCGCATAAAGACATTGAACTTATAAGCTTACAACTTATAAGTTCTAGAAAAAACTGTATTCAGTGGTAACGAAACGCATTAAATTTATGGTAGTTGTTAATTGCAACATAAATTTTAACGTTTTTATCTTTTGTGGTTCGTGGGAATTTTATACGAGTTTTTCAACCTTCCACGTATGATTTTAAATCTGACAAAACAAAATTTTATGATTTCAATATCCTATTTACTTATTAAAGTGATTGTTTACTTTTGAACTGTACGCGTATTTATTTCGCTTACTTAAAATAAACGGTAGTCATAGAAGAATGTTGGACCTTCTAAATATAAAAATCATACATAAACTATTCCATAAAAATTAATAAAACCACGGTTTTATCAAAACCAAATAGTTATTGCACATATTTTATTCAACATTTTTTAAATTATATAATTTTATGACAAATTATTGTTCCTTTTTTAAACTATTACTAAAATTTATCTGAGGATGATAATTTTGTCTAAAACTACTACTTATATAACAATAAATTTTAAACTAACTTGAAATTATTCGCCATATCGAGTAATAATATATTTTTATTTATAGAAATAAAATTATTTTTGAGTAAGTATAACATGACTACAGTGACAAGACGAAATTTGTTCCTTAATCTTCCAAAGATCTAAAATTACAATAACCATTATTTAGAACATAAATAAAAACCTATTAAGACTTTATACAAAATCGATTACAAATAAAAAATAAGCTCTTCAAAAATTGCATGACGTTTTGCAATTTGTAAAGTCCACTATGTAGACCTCACGTTGTATTTCAAAATCGGGGAAAGGCTTAGCATAATCTTGTAAATTTGTTCAATAAAAATCAATAATTAAAAACCATGGTTTGACTGTTATGATCATGGAAAAGTATATATCTATACTTATATTTATGTACAAATTTAGATTAACATATAAAATTGGAAATATGTATTGTTAATAAACCAGTAGATATCAAATCGATATGTTAGCGGAGAGTTCTAGATAAATTCTGCATAAAGACTAGAAATAATTTCAAAGAGTAAATACATTATCAAAGTATGTTACACTAAGTTGGATATTTTTCATAATAAAACTAGAGTTCACTTAGGTCAAAAGAAAAAATCCAAAGTGTAAATAATAAATTCTTTTGTCCTAAATCCTTTACTCGCACAAATACAGCCTTCATAAAAGTAAGTACGTTAAAAAATGAAATGTTTCAGGAATAAACGGAATGTTTTTCGAAAACGATATTTTAAATTATCCATTTCATATCTGATTCGTTTTCTAGGTCATGACGTTTAAGTTTCAGTTTTCACACTGTTCTGGATACGGTAAAATCAGATCGATGGATTGACGTCATGGGCGGTAAAGAAAATAATCAAATAATCGTTGTATAACAATTGCGATGATAAAATACATAAAATATACGAGTTAGCTCATCCTACTCAAATTTCAAGGCTCGCTGTGATATATTATAAAGAAGTATCGAAAATATCTACAAAAAATAATATTGTTTCTCACGTCATAGGTACATAAAATTGAAAATTTGATATGCATGTTGAGGTGTGCAATTTTAATGTCATTGTTATTGCTCAGTCAAAACTCCTATGATCACTGTGTGCTTAGTGCATTTTTCCTTATCACTCAAAACGTGTCATGACATTTCAATGCTTCATCTACAGTTTCGCATGCATTTGAGTAAAAATCTTTTACAACCGTACAAGTACAGTACTATACAATAAGTAATTAAATAATGTTTTAATAAACTAAAAGTTCGTTAGTTGCAAAGAAAACCGCTGTTGGCCGAATGGGGAAAGCGAAGGCACAAAGGAAAACATTAGCACGCAATAAGTGAGTTATGTGTATGAGTGCTTTAATGGTACGCCCACAGCAACGCCCGATGTTAGAATTTCATACCAGGTACAGGTACAATTCGTCTAGGCCGACAAACGCACCCGACTAAATACTAATATTTATATAGGCATTTAATGTTAAAAAAACATGAATATTTACCTACTCGTCGGAAGGTTAAAAGGCTTCCAAGTCAAGAGTCGCTATTTTTTGAAGGCCATGAATGCAAATTGAGTTTAAAAAACAAAAGCTTCTTATTGTTTAGCTAATACCTCTAAGTCAAATTATCCACAATATTGTCAGCAAATTTAATTATAGTACAACTTCTCAGTGATCGGTTGTAATTTACTGTTACGAAAATAACGTAAAGTATGCAAAT